TATATATATATATATATATATATATATATATATATATATATATATATATATATATATATAATATATTTTTGTGTAAAAGAATATATCTGCTTTTTTATGTTATCAGTAGAATATTATAAATAGAGAATAAAATGAAACATGTAATAAATTCTTATATTATTTCATTTCCTTATCTCTTTTCTCTTTTTCTTCTTGATAAATTAAAATCTTGATATTAATAGAATATTTATAATTTTTCCAGACTTTTTTTGGGAATATGACACGTCCACATGTAAAATATCAAATTGCTAGAGATGATGTAGATACTACAGATTATTTGCCACAAAATGTTCCAGAATTTCAAAATGTGTCAAAATTAGAGACTTCATTTTGGAAAAAAGCATCCCAAGCACTTTTACTAATCTCTGCTTACTTTGTTTTATCAGTGGGCCTTACATTTTATCAACCATGGCTTTACAATACGTATGTGAGTAATTGTACACCAATTAGTAATTAATTATATTATTTATCTGTTACTACTAGTTATATTACTTATTTGTTATTATCTTAGATTGGAAGCAAATTTTAATAAAGATTTATTAATATTTATTACAATACCTGTAGGGATTTAATTTTCCTCTGGGAGTAGTAGTTTGCCATTTAGTCATAAAGTTCATTCTGGCTGCACTGATAAGATGCATCAGAAGATGTTGCAACAACAAACGGGTAAATCTTCCATGGCAAAGCATAGTTTGCTCGTTAATGGTACCTGGCATTGCCAGTGGTGTCGATGTTGGTTTGTCAAATTGGGCACTTTCATTAATCCACATGTCTTTGTAGGTATAAATTATTATAAAACAACAGTGCGTTAAAGTATAATATATTTGTTATGTATTAGATATTGTAATAATTTTGAACATTTCCTCACAGATATACTATGACTAAGTCAACTACTATTATATTTATTCTTGGATTTTCCCTTGTTTTTAAACTAGAAAAGAAGGTAAAATTATTTGTTATATAAATTTTAATTAGAAATTAAATATTAGATTTGTAGATGTATATCTTAGATAGAAAAATAACTATTATTTATCGTAGTCATGGTCGCTAGTAGGAATAGTAGTGATGATAGCAGGAGGATTGGCAATGTTCACATATAAATCTACCCAATTCGGTGTTTTTGGATTTATACTGTGTCTCTTAGCGTCATTTTCGAGTGGTATTCGATGGACTATGACACAACTAATAATGCAAAGATCCAAGATTGGTCTCCATGATCCAATAGACATGATGTATTATATGCAACCTTGGATGCTATTACCTGCATTATTTGTAGCTTTATGGTTTGAAGGTAATTTTATATTGCATCCAATTGAATCTTAATAGAGAATGTAATAAAACTGTAATTAATTAGGTAATAATCAAAGAAATAATCAAAGAAAAATAAATATCTCTTTTTATATATTTTGAAATTTATATCTTTAACACATTTCATGCATTCCATCATGATACAAAATATTGTAAGTGTATTATATTTTAGGAAACGAAATATATTTTAATTTAAAAAATACTAACTGGAGCGATATCGGTAGTATTTTATTGACTACAAGTGCTGTAATAGCAGGTGCCATTCTAGCATTTAGTATGGAAGTGATGGAATTCTTAGTTATTACTTATACTTCTAGTCTGACATTGTCGATCTCGGGGATATTTAAGGTAAACGGTCACAATTAATTTCATCATCTTTTTTTACATACAGTACTATAGTGCATGACATATCAGTATTATAGTGATACTTATATTTTATATGTAATTAAAATTATGACAATTATAAAAAAAAATGTTTGTAATTCATTGTATACATATTTAGATGTAATATAATATTAGAGAAACATTTACAAATTATTTAGTTTTAATATACAAAGTAATATTTCATTGATAAAATTAATATAATGCTTACATTTATGCTTTGTTGCAGGAAATATTCATATTGATACTGGCCTTTGCTTGGAAAGGTGACCAAATGACTGGCTTTAACTTCATAGGATTGTTAATGTGCCTTGGTGGTATAATACTTCACGTTGTTCAGAAAATATTGGTCAACAGAAAAAAAACAGTTGAAAATTTGGAATTGCAATTGAAGTTACCGAGTGAGAGTTCTAAGCATGAAGAGGGAACCGACTCGAATATACCGTTGTTAACAGAAAAGTCAACGTCCTTGATGAATCTTCTGAATGCAGAATTTAGTTCAGATGAAGATGGTGGCTTGAGAGAGGGCGATAATTCGACGCAAATATTGTCAGATATTTTACAACGCAGAGAGCAGTGATACATTGTAAATTTTTAGCTCTAATATACACTAATGTGTGCGATGCGGTATTACTTCAACGAGAAAAAACATTCCAAACAACGTACGTTGAACAGCTTGTAGCATTTTATATTTTTGCATCATAAACTTTATAGTTGATAACGAAACATTAAGATTACAAAAATTATACTTTAAGAAGTGAAGGTTTGACGTGAAAATTAACATAACGAAAAACGTGAGAAAATGCTTTTAAGTATTCTTTAAGATCTTTTGGATGAGAATTTTTTTTATTTATAGAGAATTTGATTATTTTAAAATAATTTAATGATAAAAGAGCAAGTTATATAAATATCCCGGAAAAATCGTGAAGTACAAAGATGAAAGTGTAAGATTGACTTTATATATATTTTGATATTTAGTAGAAAAATATGGTTACATATAAAGAAACTAAATTATCATTTGGAAAAATATGACTACAATATTAATTTATATCAATTATATGCACATATATATATATATATATATATATATATATATATATATATATATATATATATATATATAT